GTCTGTCTTCTTGCTATAACGTCTGCACGCAGAGTGAGATAGATGGCAGCCCTTATGGCATCTCCCCCATATACTATCTTTAATAGGGACTCTGTGACACTGAGGTCGCACCCAGCCTTCTTGCCAAAGGTCTGCACAGACTTCCACATTAACGAACTGATCGTCTTACCTTCTTTCTGCCCGAAACCACATACCTCACCACACGAGGCTCTTCTGCACACGCTGGACGCTCGCCGAGCCCTTGCATTTTATATTGATAGAACCCATGATATCCGAAAGACGGACCGTCTCTTCATATCTGTTGCAGATCAGTTTAGAGGTCGTCCACTCTCTGCACAGCGCATTTCGAAGTTGATTGTCGCTTGCATTACCACCTGTTATAATGTCTGTAACAAGTCTCTCCCATCTCAGCCTAGAGCGCACTCCACTCGCACAGTTGCTACCTCTATGGCCTTCCTGAAAGGAGTCCCTATGCGAGACATCTGTTGAGCAGCTATTTGGTCGTCAAACGCCACTTTCATGAAACATTACGCAATTCTGCAACACTCTACTTCAGACTCCGCTGTAGCCTCAGCAGTACTCCCAACGCTGCCACAACCATGATTCCGTAGCCCAGCCTTAGCTCGGACCACTGCTCCGGAGTCACCAGATGTGGAGCACCCACGGGGACTACCCAAAGAAGAAGTTACTCACCTTCATGCAGTAATGATGGTTCTTCGAGATGTGTCACCGTGGGTGCTCCACGACCCGCTTTCCTCCCCGCTACGGAATCTCGTCTGTTTCTCTCGTTTCAGATGAGGCGGTGAGAGGAACTGGAGCGGGGGCTGGACCGCGCGCGGAGAGGAAAAGTTGCGAATGGCCTCGAGCGCTTGCGCGGTTCGGCCAAATACAGCTACGTGAAGCCTCCGATTCGCGGCGCCGGGATGAGCCCGACGCCAGATGTGGAGCACCCACAGGGACACACCCCGAAGAACCATCATTACTGCATGAAGGTGAGTAACTTCTTCTTTCTTGATGACTGAGGATTTAAGCCAGCATCCTACTTTCAGAGCAATATTTGCTAGATAAATAACCTCTGTCCTTATATACATGTGATTGACATATTGAATAAAAATGATGCCAGTGTTGGTGGTGTTCAATTAAGGCAGACTACCTTCGTTTTTGAGCATTAAAAGATACTGTCAAAATTGACAGGCCTGAAATTTTACTTAGAAGTATCAGTGAAATCACTTCTTTTTTTTAGTGCTGAGATCTTTTGTTGTTTTTTGAAATAATGGCTGAAGCAGTGCTAGAAGTGACAAAATTTGAGCACTTCTGTTGTAAACAAAAATTGGGATCTCTGAGCTTTCTTATGATTAGGGACATGTGTGTCTGAATAGATAATGCTGTTTCTCTACTTGATCAGTTTCATTCTGATGATTAGTGATGGGTAGAGCCCTGTCTGAGTACAAAATTTGTATCTGCAAAAATATGCCAAATATATCCACTTTGACATCTGCAGATATGGATATGAGTGGATATAGAACAGATATCTAGAAATTTGTAGGACCGTCAATAAAAAAAATGTATCTGTATTCATATCTGACGAAATGAGCCACGGATATCTACATCCATACCTGCAGATGCAGATACCTGCAGATTTGCAAGTTGCTAGTCATGGAGTCAGGGTGGATTATCTGCAGCCAAGTGTAAAGCCTCAATTTAAATCTACTTTAATCAGCTTTTTTGTTCTTAAGTTATTGTTTAAAGAGATGTGCATTCTCATTGATTGATATAACCACTAAGCTATGTTCATTTACAGCCAATTAGAGCCTTAACACTAGATTTGGTACTTCTTTTTGCTACCTAGGAGAATGCATGATAACTATGTACATTTATTTAAGCAGGTGTGTATCATAATATTTTCAGATTCTTATTGTACATTTTAGTATTTCAGAAAATGGTGAATGATTTATTGCTTATTTACTAGTTTAGATTTTTGCTCATGCTTTGTGTCAACTGCATTAGGATGGTAGATGAAGTTTGTTTAAACACATAAAGCGGTATATAAAACATTTTAAAATTAAACAAAACTTTAAAGTTTTGATACATAAACTTCTTATCAAAATGTTCTCCATTTACAATTAAATGATTTATTAAATGAAGGTATTAATTGTAATCAGTGAATTAAAATCAGGTTAACCTAGAAGAATAATATACCTAAATGAAAGTAATTTATGCTTAAGTTCCTGATTGCCTAAGTCTTTTGAAAGTGAGACAGTCTTCCAAGTTATTTAGGCTGAGCTACTATGCTGTATTTATGAAACTTGGCCATAAAAGTTAAATGTTTTCCCTAGATTCTTTCTTTATATAGAAAGGCAGTCCTTTTTACTCAGTTTTTGATAAGCCCTCGTGGATTCAGCATATTTTTTATTTAAATGATTTAAGAAATAATAAGTGTAGGCAGTTTATATATTAAATTTACATTTAATTTTAAATAGACTAATTTTTAAAAAAAACGTATAATGTAAACAACTTTAAAATCATTTTTATAATCCACTCTGAAAGGAGTTAAACATGAAAATAACCTTATGGAAGTAAAATTCTTATATGCAATACAAGCTTTCTTATCCGACACTCTGTTAACTGGAAAGTTTTGTTATCCAGCATTGCCCCAACCATTATATTGCATGTCTTCAGGTGTGCACTCCTGAGGTCTGCATGTCCACCCGGCCATTGTGTAGCTTCTGCCAACTGACATCTTCATCAGGTGCCTCCTTCCCCCTCAGTCTGCCTCAAGCTGCTGGGAGCTGGATCTGATGGTAATGGGTTGGAGCAGAGCAATATGTTTTGTTTTCCAGCACATTCAATTAATCAGCAACCACCATTCCCCATGAATGCTGGATACCAAAGCTTTCACTGTATTTCAATGGTTTGCCTACTTAGGACTTAGCTCTTAATTTGTCTGTGTGCTATGTACTGTGTTCACACAGACCTGCAACCCAAAACAAACTGAGAACTTTAAATAATCTGAATTGCAGCATAATAGCCTTGAAATCTCAATATAAATAATGCTGTAAAGTGATCTCTAGGCTTTGTTAATGAACAGTGTCGAAGAAAACAGATTTGAGAAATGAAGTGAGGAGATGAGAACCTGAAATAGCAAAGCATTAGTTATTGCCACAATGAAAGTTCGTGGCAGGGATGTCTTAGAATATGCATCTACTATGTATTTGAGAGAGTTTGTGCATGTCTGTTTGTCTGTCCATCCATTTGTTGAAGAACTCCTCTTAAACGGTAAGAGCTAGGACCATCAAATTTGGTATGCAGCTTCTGCCTATTGTAACTTAAAGCAAGGTCAGGGTTTGGTTGTGTCATGAAAGCAGGATGTGCCTAGAATGTGCTTATTTCATAAAATGTGAAATAAGGAGTCTGCTAGCAGGCACAGTTATACAGAAGAATGGACAGATGGGGGCGGACACACCCCTAAGACTGTGGTTAGCTAGGACAAAGGGCAGCCACTGTCCACGGGAAAGTATCCCGTATTGGTGCAGGGCATGCTGGCCCTGTGTCCCACAACCAGAGCCCAAACTAGTTCCCTCTCTCTACCTCCTGGCCCTCTGCGTCAGCACTGGACTTTGCGAGAGGAGCCTGGACAGGCAGTGCAGATTGCTGTGCTTGGCACCAGGGAGCTGCTGCTGGCTGGGGGCCACCGCCAGTCGAGCACTGCAGCTCATATTGCTCCTGGCTAGGCACTGCCATCCTGGGAAGCCATCGCTGGCTGGGCACTGCGAATCAAGCAGCATTGGGCAGCCTTGGGGCACTGCCACTGTCTGGGCATCACAGCCTCTGCGAACCCTGGTGGCTTTGGGGAGTTGCTGCTGCTAGAGCAGCATGATCCTTAACCTGTTGGTCTGAGGGAACTGTCGCCAGCCAGCCAGGTTAACCCCAGGCAGCCCACCCACACCTCCCAGCTCTCTGCCCTAACTCCTGCATGCCCTACACCTGGCCCTGAGCCCCATCATCCCACCCTGATTCCTGCACCTCCACCCTCTTCCCAGAGCCCCTGTACACCTTTCAAATCTCTGCCCTGAGTCCCCACAAAGACCCGAGGAACACTGGGTAAATCTTTACCTGGCTCTTACTACATTTCAGAGGTAGAGCCGCAGTAGGGGACCCGGCATGATTCAGGACTGAAGCAGTCCTGGCTCATGCCTTACCCGGGAGCTACCCCCACTATGGCTCTGTAATTTAAATGCAGTAGGAGCCAGGTTGCCTACATGCCAGCCTCATACTACATGTAAACTGCAGAGCCACAGTAGGGGTAGCGAACGTCCTCACCCCATTGAGTAGTGGATGAAAATTCCATTAACTACTCAATTAGCTAATTACATGCTACTCAACATCCTTAGTTCAGCACTGGTTAGATCGCCAGGGTGCCAGACTAGAGAGGTTCATCATTAGAAATATATAACAACAATATATATTATTTTGAAGATGTATGTTGAAGTTACATTCTAAAATTTTTTTCTAGTTTTAAATCCTAGATTTTTTTTTGACATGTAATTTTACTGTTAAATGAAATTCTGAGACCAGACTGAGTCAGACTTTCTAGACCCAGTAATGTGTAATTGATCAAAACCATTTTTAAAATCTAAAATATATCTTCTTTTTCTTCCTGTATGTTGTTCTGAAGAGAAGTGTTTTTAAACAATAAATATAATTTACACTGTATGTTTGATATTAGTAACTATGTCACAAGGTAATATGCTTAAAAATCAGTTAACTTGCCCTTTGAAAGAGAAAAAATTTGAATTGCCACCCATATGGTAATCCATTATTGATCATATTTTTAGAAATACTGTGTCCTGCTGTTGGTGATGTAGTTTATTCCAATGTCTGTTTTGGGGAGCAAAGAGATTAGAATATTGATCTGTTTTTTTTTAACCATTTGGATTATTTTTTATCATTTGTATTTCTTCCAATATAATTGTTAGATTATCTTTTCTCATTTTTTTTAGCTTCCTCATTTGTTTGTGAATTGTATTGAATGTTTTACTTCAAGGCTCCTATTAGAGGAAATTTTGACCCAGTTGCAAAACCTTTCATCTGAAAAGAAACATGGCTCTCGTGTTCCTTGTGACACATTCAATGACTTTGTTCGTCTGTTTAAACAAGAAACCATTACTCAAGATCTACAGAATCAAACAGTATATATTGTAAGTAATTCATATTCTTCCTATTTTTACTTTGCTTAAATGTATTTATCAGTGTTTATGTATGAAAAAACAGGTATTCCTCATTAGTTTATATAGGATTTCTGTATTGTACTATATGAGCCCGATTCAGAGCTCATTGAATTAATGGGATTGAATTAATGAGAATCTTTCCCTTAATTTCACTAAAGTTTGAGGCACTTTATATCTAGGACTATTCACATGTAAATACCAATAGTAGATTATACTAATAGTTAACTAAACATCATTTTAACAAATAACACAAGTTGCCAGTAGAGAAAACTCAGTTCATTTATAATGGGATCAGTGTCAACCTGACAAATCTTTTTGGGAGCTAAGCTCTGTTAAAGAGGAACCATATTGGTGAATCAAGGAAGCTATATGTGGAGTACCTAAGTGGTGGAGAGGGTAGCTAGGCTAGCACAAGCTTAATCTAGAGGCCTTGCTGATTGGTTCTCTTATGAAAGTTCAGCCACTCCTTTTTATAAAAGTTCAGGCTTGTCATAGCAAGATTTAAAACTTTTTCTTACCTGTAAAGGCAGCCAGTGTGGTTGAACTAGAGTGAAGAAAACTAGAGCAATAAAAATTAACTTGTCAATGTTCTGTACAAAATATGAACAAAATATGGAGGAAGAAGTCCAGAAGAAAGACTATAGTTGTATTCCAAGTGAAAAGTAACGCATGAAGCATAATAGTAATAGCAAATAATTTTAAATAATATAAACAGTGGACACAATCACTAGAAAGTATTTTCTTCAAGGAAAAAAGGAACTAAAAATTTGTTAAAGGAGACCAGTTTTGCCAACAAAATAAAACCACCTCAACAAGAGGCATAAAGCTTTTAGGGGCAAAATTAAAATGACAAAACATCAGTGTAGACTGGGGTGGGGAAACTTTTGAGTCAGGGACTGCTGACCCACAGAAAAATGAGTTGGGCAGGAGGCAGTGGGGTCTGGAGTAAGGATGTTAAATATCGGTTAATTGAATAGTCGAGTAACCTCATGGAATTTCATCGGTTAGTCAACTATTCTATAATCCCCGGGGGCGGGACTGGCAACCACTGTATCAAAGGCAGCAGTGTAGGGTGCCAGGCGGGAGCTGGTCCCATGAGGGAAGCCAGTTTAAAAATCAGCTTCCCTCTCTGACCAGCTGTTTAGACCCTGTGCTGGGACTTCTGGTAGAGGCAGCAGTGTAGGGTGGCAGCCGTCCCTGTCTAGGGAAGGTCTGAGTTCCTAGGACCTGATGGAGTAGGGTGGCAGCCGTCCCTGTCTAGGGTAGGTCTGAGTTCCTAGGATCTGATGTGAGCCAGGACTGAGCTGGGCTGTCTGCTTGCCTGGCTCCTAATACTCTTTAAATTCAGAGCTGCAGCAGGTCCCGGACCTGTCGCAAGCCAGGACTGAAAAATTTACTGACATGGAGAGTGGGAGTGGGAAATGCGTGTAGTCTATAGCATTCACTTATAAGCTTTTTCTTATTGGTTAATCATCTACATCATTACATCCCTAGGGTGGAGTGCCAGAGTGGGCTCCTCAGTGCTGGGGGTGGGGAGCCCTGCGTGGCTGGCTCGAGGCAGGCCGGGGACTGCATCTGGTCCTTGGGCGTAGGTTCCCCACCCCGGTGTAAACATTGCTGAGGTGTTTTTGTGAGTACTCCTGTTCTCTCCTGCAATGGGAATGAAGGGAGGGAGAGAAAGATCATTGCTGCTTTAACATTTCTCAGCATGGAGTGCTCACAGGGTACGTCTAGACTACATGCCACTGGCAACAGAGGCATGTAGATTAGACTACCCGGCATAGGAAAATGAAGCGGTGATTTAAATAATCGTCACTTCATTTAAATTTGGGTACGTCTAGACTACATGCCTCTGACGACAGAGGCATGTAGATTAGACTACCAGGCATAGGAAAATGAAGTCTGGACATTCTGCGGTCGACATCAAAGGCATTTGTCGACCTCCCAGGTATGCCTCCTGGGATGAGGCATACCTGGGAAGTTGACAAATGCCTTTGATGTCGACTGCGGAGCGTCCAGACTACTGCGCTGAGCCGACAAATAGCTGATCGGCTCAGCGCAGCAGCCATGTAAATTTAAATGAAGCGACGATTATTTAAATCACGGCTTCATTTTCCTATGCTGGGTAGTCTAATCTACGTGCCTCTGTCGCCAGAGGCATGTAGTCTAGACGTACCCACAGACCAGCTCAGGACGCTACTCCAGGCATCTGAAGTGAAGGGGTGTTGTAGAACTCAGAGGGAATCACAGAATTGGAGGCATGCAGAGTGGGGGCTGACATAAGAGGGATGTGTGTGTTTGACCCTGTCTCAGGTTAGGTCATCAACCTGCTGTCTCACCTGCCCCAAACATACCACTCCTTCTTTCCTTCCCACTACATGCTTCAATTGAAAAAGCAGCTGACAGTCTACTAGAATGTAAACGATAGGATTGACAAACTTGCATCATGTGATGCTGTACCTTCCCCATGAGGCATTACAACCCCTTCTCAAAGTCCCCAGTGGCCAGCTGCACATTGGGATAGCTACCCAATGCTCTCTGTATCTATGCAAGAACTGTTAGTGTGGATGCACTTGGCCAACACAAAGATTTGGTGTGGACATGCAACAGTGGTTTTAATTACAGTAGTTTAATTAAAATGGCATAACTTTTGCCAATAAAACTTTATTAGTAAAAGGTAATCTTGATGGAAAAATCATAATTTTTATAATAAACATGTTAATGTAATATCCTAAAATATGTGATATTTAAATCTTTTGAAATAATACAGTACTGGATAAAAATCGAGTTTTTAATTGGCTTTTAGCAGTGTCATGGCTTTATCAATAATACTCAAATGCATGCATGATTTATTTCCACTTCTTAATAGCAGAAAGACTTAATAAAATTGGTTTCTAGGGAGTGTTGCTGTTCTTGGGTGGCTGAACTGCTAAGTTTTCCTATCATGCTTGAAATGGTAATTCCCCAGATATGCTCTGTTTGGCGTGTTTTAACACTTACATAGTTTCCTTTGCTAACCAAAGGTACCGGTGAAATGTGGCTCCATCAGCTAGACTACAAAGTTGTTGTTTTTTAAATTCCACATAAAAGGGCAGAATAAAGTTCACTAATAAAATCCTTGTTTTGTTTGTTAAAAGGTACTCGATAAAGCAGAACAGCTGAGGGAAATGGAGGCAAATGTGTTGCCAGGGTTTCTGAGACTACAAGAATTTGTAAGTAGCTGGGTAAAGTATTTTCATAGAATCATAGAACTGGAAGAGACCTCAGAAGGTCATCAAGTCCAGCCCCCTGCTCTAGGTAGGACCAATTCCAACTAAATCAACCGGGCCAGAGCTTTGTCAAGCCGAGACTTAAACACCTCTAGGGATGGAGACTCCACTACTTCCCTAGGCAACCCATTCCAGTGCTTCACCACTCTTCTAGTGAAATAATTTTTCCTAATATCCAACCTGGACCTCTCCCACCACAACTTGAGATCATTGCTCCTTGTTCTGCCATCTGTCACTACTGAGAACAGCCTTTCTCCATCCTCTTTGGAACCTCCCTTCAGGAAGTTGAAGGCTGCTATCAAATCCCCCCTCGCTCTTCTCTTCTGCAGACTAAACAGACCGAACTTCCTCAGCCTCTCCTCATAGGTCATATGCTCCAGTCCCCTAATAATTTTGGTTGCCCTCTGCTGGACCCTCTCCAATGCGTCCATATCCTTTTTGTATGGGGGGCCCAGAACTGGGCACAGTACTCCAGATCTAGCCTCACCGGAGCCAAATAAAGGGAAATTATGACATCTCTGGATTTGCTGGCAATGCTCCTCTTAATGCAACCTAATATGCCATTAGCCTTCTTGGCTACAAGGGCACACTGTTGTCTCATATCCAGCTTCTCATCCACTGTAACCCCCAGGTCCTTTTCTGTAGAACTACTGCTTAGCTGGTTGGTCCCCAGCTTGTGACAATGCTTGGGATTCTTCTAACCAAGTGCAGGACTCTGCACTTGTCCTTGTTGAACCTCATCTGTATTTTGTAGAAGTTGAAGATCTATCAGGTCATCTAGCTAGTCTCACTACCAGTGAATTCCCTAGGGTAGAGAGGTTTGCAAATAACTTTTTTTTTTTAAAGTTGTAATTTTTTGCAGCATTTTGGTCAGCAGCAGAACCCAAATGAGAATTTAAATATTGCCAGCTTTTTTTTCTTGGGGCGGTATTATTCTATGAATGATGTTGTCCTGTAATGTCTGCTGTATGATCCCCAAGTGAGGAGCACACAGCCCCTCACAGCCTGCCACCTCCCCCAGTCTGTGTCTAGGGAAAGTAATGGAATTCACTTCATCAGCCTTCCCTGGCTTCATCCTAGCCCTGGGTAACATTCTGGGAGAGGGGTGGTTCCAGCTCGAGGGACAGGCTGACCTCCTGACTGGTGGGCATCGTCTCCTAGCTGTCCTCGTCTTCCTCCTTCTCCACCTCCTCGTTATTAGACCTGCCCTCCGGGAGGCTGACAACAGGCATCGCCAGGTCAGAGTCCTCAACAAGGGGAGGGGAGGGACCTCCTAGGATGTGGTGGAGCTTTTTGTAATAGGGGCATAATTAGGGTGCTGTCCCTCTGCGGGAGCTCCGCTCCCTGACCTAGGTGATTAGTGGACTGAGTCACAATTGTGTTTGGATGATACAATTGTGGCCATCCAGCTGTAATGTCCGCTTTCCTGTGTCTGGGGCAGAGATCCTGGAGGTTAGCCTCTTTTTCCCAGACCTCAGTGAGATCCAGGATCTCCACACCAGACCAGTATGGTGCCCTCCTTTTCTGCCCCAGCCAGGGGCTTGGGAGCTGGCTGCCAGCTCACTTGCAGCCGTGGAGGGCTCGGTGGGAACAGGGAAGGCAGAGCAAGGTGCTGCTGTGTGGCAAAGGGCTGGCAGGGCCTGCTTTGTGCCACAAATTCTTTCCTTTGCGTCTTTTGCCTCATCGATTTTCCCCCGCCCAGCCTCCCTCCCTTGCTGACTCAGAGGCAGCAAAGGGGAGAGGGGCCAGGGATACTTCAGAGTGGCAGTGCCGCACAGCTTAGGGATGAGTCTTAATGGTTACAGTTAACTGATGTGGGCTACAGCCCACCTGCTTCATTTAATTGGCTAAACTTAACATTAGTTACCTAATTACATGGGCTTTTACATTCCTAGTTAGGACCCAACTGCCCTCTGCTCAGCTGAGCAGCTCCTTAGAACAGCAAGCCACCCTGATTGGCTCCCTAGAAGCCTCTCTCTGATTGGAGGGGTTTACTACTGTGGAGCACCACACTATTGTATGTAAAGAAGAACTATGTGCTTTATCTGTCAGCCCCTTATTTTGTTTTACTTTCTAGAATATTTCACTTTTCTGTTTACTCGCTTCAGTAGTAATTCTTAATTTCTGATGATATTTGGATTTGGAAGTAACTTGAGGGAACAAGCTATTTTTTGCTTTTAAACTTATGGGCTGCTTCTACGGCTCTGAAATCTCTTCATGGAAGAACTGTAATTGAAGACTTCTCTCTTTACTGCTGAGTTTGTAGTACAATTGCAAAAAGACCTGCCAAGAGAAAACACGTAGCTGTATATTTGTATGGTATAAGCTCAGGATATTTATGGGGTTGATTGGTTTACCTTAATCATGTAGTCTTTGTTCACTGAGTAAAATCTTTCTTAACAGTAATGATAAGTGATGCAAATGGTTAACCGGTAAGCCTCACCCTTAATGCGTAACCTTACTGGTTCTGATTAACCAATAGGAGTTAGAGCAGCTTCCTGCCCACCCCAGGCAGGGGACTGCTCCAGTCCTGCTGGGCCCACCGCAGGCAAGGGCTGTTTTAGCCAGTCCACCCCCCTGGCCACAGGTTACACACTGACTCGGCGGGAGCAGGAAGCCTTTAGTGAAGCCTCCCTGAGATTAAGTTGTACTCCCAGGGTAAAGTTATACCCAGAGTTAGGATGTTAAGTAGCGTGTAATTGACTAATCAAATAGTTAATGCATTTTTGCATTGACTATTCAATTAGTCCATAGGGTGGCGCTGCCCCTTTGAAATGCCAAGGGGCGTTATAAGCTTTATACTGCAGAACTTGGCATGTGTAACCATGTAACCACTAGGATTTTTAGGAATTACATGGTTACATTTATAAACAACGTTTCACATCCCTCGTAATGATAGATGAAGATGACCTCCCCACCTGCCCAAGAGAATATGTAAAATAATGGAATTGCACTTTCTATTAAAATTGAATATTATAAAATGTGAACATCATAGTCTATTCTTCTTCTTTTTAAAGTAAGCCCTCCGATATTAAAAAAAATAATGGGACATCAGAAATATTTCTGATCATTCTTAAATATTTATTTTTCATGTGCAAATATTTAACTTGTTACCTATAGGCCCAACTTAATATTAAGTTGGTACTTTCATATTTCCACAAGTTTTGCTTCAGTGATGGTATAGTTATCTCACCGGTCGTGACACTAAGATCACAAAACAATTAAGCACAGAGCTAACTTTGTAGGGCGTCAGTTAGATGACCTTTATAAATTAAGCCTAAAGTGTGTCCCTTTCACAGAATATTGGTGCTCCTTTTCCTCCTCCACTCTTACTGTACAATCTCCTAAGGAAATTCTGAATTTAATTATTGAAGAGAGGAAGGGAAACAATTTAATATTGCTTGATACCACGCCCCTATTATCTTAAATGGCAATTAAATGGCAAAAGATATACAGGAATACCAGATAATTATGAAAATCTGTGTAAGCTCCTTGATTAGGCCACCAAAAGTCATATTAATATGCTAATAATTTGTGTTAAACACTAAATTTGATGAAATTCTTCAAATGAAAAATCGTAACAGTCATTTGTATGACTAATACTTTAACTTGCAAGGTGACCTTTTTCCCCTGTTTCTTCGCTTATAGACAGACAGAAATGTGACTGTTATTTTCCTTAGTGAAATTGTGTGGGAACTATTTCGTCCAAACACTGGATGCTTGGAGCCATTTACCTTGTATTTTCCTGACTACAGCATAGGTAATTTTTTTCTAATTTTTTTGTTGAATGAATAACTTATAATAGTACTTTGCATAAAGGACTGTCCATCTTAGTATTTCAGACACTTAACATTTTTTGTTAAGTGAAAATAGGCTGATGCTTCAGTTTTAAATCAACTGAAAATGTGATAGTTGAAAACATGCTGGTTCCCAGAATCCAGAAGTCTGCTTTAGTTATTAAAAAAACAGAACATGGGTGGCTTTGGTAAAATTACTAGTACTATATTCCCAGTTGCCCTCTACTTCGGAATCAGAGACTCCTTCCCTCTTAATTCATCTAGTTATTCATATTGGAAATCCTGTATCAACCCACACATTCCAAGATAACTAGTGAAATATATACCAGGATCAGGGACTTCAGCCTTCTGTATTAGGGATGTTAAATATCAGTTAATTGAATAGTTGATTAACCTCATGAATTCTTATCGGTTACTTGACTATTCTATAGTCCCCGGGGGTGGGGCCAGCAGCCAGTGTGCTCCAGCCCTACTCCCAAAGAGCCCCCTGACACTTCGCACAGCTGCCTGGGTATCAAAGGTGGCAGCATGGGGTGCCATGGAAGAGCTGGTCTGTGAGGGGAGCCAATTTAAAAATCAGAGGCAGCAGCTCCAGGTAGCAACAACCCCTGTTGGGGATGGGGTATGAGCTAGACCCGGCGCAAGCCAGAACTGAGCTGGGATGCTGGCCAGCCTGCTAGAAAATTTACGGGAAGGCGAGAAATGTGTGTAGTCTATAGCATTAACTGATAAGCTTTTGCTAATCAGTTAATCGACTATACTATTACATCCCTATTCTGTACTCCATTTTCCTCCAGGCAACATCCATCTCACATTTTGCTTTTTACAAGAAGTACAAAGAACATACCACCTCTGAGCTACCATGCCATTTTAGTCTGCAAAGCCCAATCTACTTCATCCGTTTGTTGTTTGAGAATTGTTTTAGAGCAGTGGTCCCCAACCTTTTGGGGCTGCCACGCTTCCGGGGGTGGGGCAAGCCCAGATCATTCGGCAGGCGCACATAACTGCCCCGGTAGGCGCCATGGGTATCACTGTTTTAGAGGATCCTCATTAGTGAGATACATGTGATCCTCTTAGCAAGAGCTCAGCCATCTGATAGGATTACAAAAGAATTTTTGGAAATCTGAATTTCTACACCACAGCTATGGTTAGCTGCATATGTTAAGACTGTGTCTGCATCAGTTGCCATTTTGACAGCATATTGTTTCTTCAGGCTTTTCTTGTACTTGTCAGTAAAGCTAGTGTACTTTAGTGTTGTTATGGTATTTAAGTTTCGGGTGTGGGGCTTTTTGGGGAGGGGTATGTTGTTGAGGGAACTGGACAGTTTTTGGTTCTGTTATCCCTTATGGTAGGATTTTCTGTGTGCTATTGAATTTGGGTTCTAAGGTACAACTTAAGCATTGTTTGGTTTGTGCTGTACTTGATTTTTAAAATACTATTAGTGCAATTATGCACTCATCAGCTTTTTGAAAAAAATAATTAAACTTGTTTATATCTAACAGGACATCTACAAAAGATTCTCTCCCATTATCATCCTCCAGAATATTCTGCTGATTTTTATGCTGCATATATTAATATTCTTCTTGGTGTCTTCTACACAGTCTGCAGGGATTTGAAAGAGCTTCGACATCTGGTGAGGGATCCACTAGATTATTTTTTCATATCTAAAACCTCGAAGGCTAGATTTATTGTTAAATTTGGATAAAGAGCATTCCATAAGCATGTTGCATCAAAATATATTTGGGGAGGTATGGGTGTCCTCAAATCCCTCAAGGCTTTTTACAATATGATGGCGCTTGTACAGTCATGTGTCCATGGAAGGTATCACCAAGTTAATAGTTGCATTAGGATTTGAGAAGTAAATTCCAGTAGGAGTTCTAGATTGGGTTTTCTGATTGTTGTTGGGAGAGACATAAGAACAACCATTCTGGGTCAGGCCCAAGGTCCATCTAACCCAGTGTTAAGCTTATAAGAAGTACATGGAATCTATTTCAGGGGGAAAGCAGTGTGCCATGGTTTATTGGAAATACAGCTTTAAAAGTAATTCCTTCAAACATACACACGTAATTACACACATACAGGTCCTACAGGTTCTTATTGTTGCCAGTCTATGGAGACTTGGCTCAATCTAATGGCCAGTTAGATTGCGCATGAGTGGGAGAGCTAGGTTATTTCTGTTCTGATCTGTTGCTCTGAAGTTTTGCGGGATGAACCCAAAGACCCATGGCAATATATCCTATTTTTATAGTAGTAAGTTCCCATTTGAGTATATGGGTTTTGCAGTGTCATGCTGTGATCATTTCTCTTTGTGACGTTTTATCTCCATCATCACTAGAGATTTCCCCCTCATTATCCTTCATTAGAATTTTGATGCTTATCATTGTGGGTTTTGCCTTTATCAAGGCATCTGGCCAGAGGAGGTCACCAGGGAACTGCGCGGTGAGCGGAGAATCTCCGCTGCTTTGTAAGGAGTCAGACGAAGCCCCACGCAGCTGCCGGTGACCGGTGAGCTGGGGAAACCCAGCTGCAATCGGGGGGCAGAGGAAAGGGAGCGAGGCATCCAGCCAGAGAGGGTCACCGGGGAATGGCGCGGTGAGCGGTGAACCTTTGGAGGCAGGGTAAGCCCTGCGCAACTGCCAGTGACTGGCCAGCTAGGGAAACCCAGCTGCAAGCCCACTCCCCTGTCCTTTCCTTCCGTTCCCCAGAGCCAAACACCTCCCCTCCCTGCTATAACCCAGTCCCCTTTCTCCCCCAACCTTATGTTCCGGTCCAAGCTGCTAACAAATGGAGGCTGGAGCTGCAAGCGCACATGTGCTTGAAACGCAACCCCCACCTTTTCCATTATTTTCAATGGGAACATTGACCCTGCATAACACGTTTTCACTTAGCACGATCATTTTCTGAAACGCATCTACCGTGTTAAATGAGGAATTCCTGTATTACAATTCTCCTACTTCAATTTCCAGTATTTCTTATTCTACATATATGGATTTAATACCTTCTACACCAGTATCCTGTCTTCTGACATTGATCAATCTAGATACTCCAGAGGGAATGAACAGAACAAGTAATCATAAAGTGATCCATCCTCTATCATCTATTCCCAACTTTTGACAAAAAGGCTACAGACACCATCTCTGCTCATCCTGGCTAATAGCCATTGATGGACCTATCTTCCATTAGTTTATCTAGCTCTTTTCTGAACCCTGTTATAGTCTTAGCCTTCACAGCATCCTTTGATAAGGAGTTCCACAAATTATGCATTGTGTGAAGAAGTGTTTCCTTTTGTATGTTTTAAACTGGTTGCCTATTAATTTCATTTGGTAACCCATAGCTCGTGTTATGAGGAGTAAATAATACTTCTTTACTGACTTTCTCCACACCACTCATGATTTTGTAGCCTCTATCATATCCCCCATTAGTCATCTCTTTTTCAGTCTGAAAAGTCCCTGTCTTATTAATCTCTCTCCTCAGATGGAAGTTGTTCCATATCCCTAATAATTTTAGTTGCCCTTTTCTGAAACTTTTCCAGTTCCGATATATCTCTTTTTAAGATAGGGTGATCACATCTGCACACTGTATTCAAGATGTGGGTGTATATGAATTTATATAAATAGGCAATATATTATTTTCTGTCTTTTTATCTATCCCTTTCCTAATGATTCTCAACATTGTTAGCTTTTTTTACTGCTGCTGTACATTGAGTGGTGGATGTTTTCAGAGATCTATCCACAATGATTCCAAGATCTTTTCTTGATACGGCTAATTTATATATGTTTATTTGGGAATGTTTTCCAATGTGCATTGCTTTGTATTTGTCAACATATAATTTCATGTGCCACTTTGTTGCCCTGTCATTCAGTTTTGTGAGGTTTTTTGGTAACTTCTTGTGGTCTGCTTTGGACTTAACCATCTTGAGGGCTTTGCTTGACTGAGGTTGACTGAGAGAAGTTCCAGGATTTTTTCTTGAACTTGAAATAGACTAGTGCAGCTCAACCTTAAAACATTAACTCTCATAGCATCCATGTTATAAGTACTGTAGCTAGTGTAGTAAATAAAAACCAACATTTTTAAGAGTCTACTAATTATCGGTGCCTCAAGTTTTGAATATGTAGCTGATTATTCATATGACAAATGTGCATGCACATAGGTAAACTTATTTGAATAGCATACGGACAACCATTGAATTTCACAAAAGCTGAAGTGAATGATGACTTACAGTATGGAGTTCTAACCAGTTAATGAACTAAAAAATCCATGCTAAACTATAGAAAGCTTTAATTCTGTTTGTATTGTTATCAAATTGGAATTAATTGTTCAAGAACGAGATCAGATAATGATCTGCATGAGAAACTTGGGTTTTTTAGGAAATGTATGCTTCATTCAGTTGTGTATATACTTCAGTGATCCAGAGATACCCACATGCTCCTTTTGGATTGGAGATTAAATTATGTATGACGCATCCTTAACACTTGATAATCAAGTTTAAATTTTGAACTGGTAAAGATAACAAAAGGCCAGTGATCAGTCTTAGCTTGTGTTTGGTAGCTAAGGTAGCAGGTATTTTAGTTCATCCTCCCTCCTGCTTTTTTTCCCCTCTCCAATCCCGAATTCTTGCTGGGGATGGAGGAGGGAGAAAAGAGAGGGTTTTTTTTTTTTTTTCATGTTGCCTTCTTTCTTCCCCTCTTAGGCACAAGATCAGTTGCACGGTAAAAGCACTAAATAGAGGCGGGGAAGCCATTTTTGTTCTACATACAACTAAATTGGCTAATAGCTAAGCTAGGCAGAATTGTTATCTTGGGTGACTAAAGTAGAGTGCAGTAATAAGAATGGCATGGTACTGCCTTCATACCTGGTTGTCCAGTCAACAGCCATTACTCTGATTGCCCAACTCTGAAGACATCACAGAAGTAAGGAAGGAAATACCTTGCAGACGTCCCTTCCACGACCTTTTGGGTCAGGACACCCAATTTGAAAACGCTGATTTTCCATGTGAAATCTGTATAGCAGGTATCAGCAACCTTTCAGAGGTGGACTGCCGAGATTTAACTTATTCACCTCTATATATGTGTCCAAGTGCCAGTGTTACTTTTTAAAATTCTACTTACAGCAACTTCATTAATAAATAAAGATGCAGATCTTACCTTTTGGTGCAGGGGTTGGCAAACTTTCAGAAGTGCCGTACCAAGATTTAACATATTGACTGATGTGTGTGCTGGGGGAAGGAAAGGGTAGGGGAGGCAAGGGCAGGCCTGGGTACAGTGACCTTATTTTCTGAACTAACTGCAGTTAGGGAGAACAGTTTAATTTAAATTTTGAAACAGATTAAGCGTTTTAACTTTTTCGTGTTAATTTATCAAACTTCCTTTTAAATAAAATATTATGTCCAACAAAAAGTTTCCATGTTTTCTTTCTTTATGGCAGGGGTGGGGAGCCTTTTTTGTGTTGGGAGTCACTGACTGTCAGAAAAATAAGTTGGGGACACAAGTGAGAAGCAAAAAACCTCCTCTAAATCCCCCCAGCCCTCACTGATGTGTCCCCCAACCGAGACACCTCACTCCTCTGGTGCTTCCACCCCATGGGCTGAGAGGAAGGGACAGGGAGGGCTGAGGTTCGGGGCTTCCCATAGGCCAGATTTATTTTTCTGAGGTTTCAGTGGATTTTGTGGACCCCCTTAAGCTGTGGGATGGGGGAAAAAATGTGGGGTTCAGTGTGTGGGTCAGGGCTGCCAGCGAGTGGGGTGGGGGTGCAGGAGTTGGGGTGCTGGAGGGGGTGTGGGTGTGAGGTCTGGGAGGGAGGTAAGATGCAGAAATAGGCTGGGAGTGGGGTGTGTGGCTAGGGGGAGGGTGCAGAAGCAAGGGAGGGGTCAGGAGTGAGTGGGAGCAGGCTGTCTGATGGCCTGAAGGAGGAGGCAGTGCAGCTGGACCTGGAGCCCTGTGCTGCAGAGGCAGTCCCATGGGGGGGAATGAGAAGGTCATGCAGTGTGTGGTGGTGAGGTAGGGTTTGGCAGGGACTCACTGGCAGCACTGCACACTGTAGCTGGTTTGGCTGCACCTTCAAGCGCAGAGCCACTGTGTTCACAGCCTAACTTCTTGCCAGTGCCCTCCCCCTTCCCCAGCAGCAGGTTAGGCTGTGCGCGCTGTAGCAGGTTCAGGGACGCCTCCGAGCGCAGAGCCACTGTGCGCAGCCTAACTTGCTTCTGGCACTCTCCCCTTTCCCCGGCAGTAGGGTAGTCTGTGTATACCTCATCGAGCTCAGGGGCGCCTTCGAGTGCTGAGCCACTATGCATACAGCCTAACCTGCTGCTGGGGAAGGGCGCCGGCAGTAGGTTAGGCTATACATTCCATTCAAAATCGGCTTGCATGCCATTCATGGCACGCGTGCTGGGGGTTGCCGATCCCTCCTGTGTAGTATAGGGTAAAAGCACATGTGGTCTGTGACACGTTTTTCATGGCTGTGAATTTGGTAGGACCCCTATTTATAATGTTACGTATAATTATAGTATATATGAATTACATAGAATCATAGAAGATTAGGGTTAGAAGGAAACCTCAAAGGAGGACTAATCCCACCCACCTAAATCATTCCAGCCAGGGTTTTGCCATCCCTCTCTAAAAAACCTCTAAGGATAGA